TTTTATTGCCTTTTTTTAATTGATAGTGACAGCTGAAGGTAGACAGGAAAGGGGGGCAGAGAGAGGGGATGACACGCAGCAAAGGGGCGCAGGTCAGATTCGAACCCTGGACCGCTGAAGCAAGGACTCAGCCTCGGTACATGGGACGCTAGCTCTAACAACTGAGCTAACCGGGCACCAAGTCAGTGCATTTTTAAAATGGCCATATAAATCATATAATCAATGTAACAGCTCAGAAACAGCACGTATATAACATCCACACAAACAGGCAGTGACAGCATGGGACAGAGACGGAGAGAGTGACACAGAGACCGAAATAGTCTAGAGAGTAGGGAAGATGGCATATCCTGGCAGGAAATGCAGTTATGTGAACAGTACTGACAGAGACACCAACAGGAAATAAACAAATATTGTCACAATCAGGCTATAATGTTGTCCCTAGTGGTCTGTCCCCAATATACTACCTGTCATTTAGTCAGATTGTATGATAATCAAGCAGAGTGGAAATACTTAAAGTGAAATTCAATATGGGAAACAAATGATCATAATTTTCCTTAAACAAAATATGTATTTAATGGCATATCTCATATTTAATGGATATTTGTATCATCCTGAAATAAAATGCAATAATAATAATAAATAATATAATAATAATCCCATGATGTTATCTCTCAAAAATGAACCTTCAAATAAACTCATACAATATAATGAGCTGAATGAATTAAATGTGCTGATAGTGACATAAATATGGGTCAATAAAACTGAAAGCAAGTTTGCATGTTGGTGGCAGTAAGTGATAATTGTTAGAAAGGATTTTCCTGCATATAGAAATTCCACTGTTCATTGTTTAATTTGCATACTTTAAGAACTCACAGTGGACTATACAGGACGTTAAACAATAAGGGTAACACGTTTAGAGTAAGTTGATCTAAAAAGCAGGTGCAATTAAGAAGTATGCACATGCAGCACAAACTATATTTCTTTAGTTGACTTTTCACCACCACAATCTGTCATTTTATTTGCTATATTGTCATTTTGCTCCTATACTTATGACTGCTCCCATATATATTTCCTGTAAACTTTTTTTTTTGGCAGCTTTTTGCACAATAAAGAATGATGTATGAAGAAGCAATTGTGTTTTGCTGGATTGCACAATTAATTACACTATTATCAAGTCATTCGATCCCTTAGAGAATGCTAGGATGAGACAGGCGGTGCTTGGCGCCAGCTCTTACGTGACCCTGAAGACCTTTTTAGTGTACCATTAGCCAAAAGTGCCTGTTAGTGTCTAAAATCAATAAGTCATATTCAAAATGACTTCACTGAGGCAGTCCAGTGGTTTCCAATTCAAACTAATGGGACACCACAGAAACGTATCATAATCAAAACTTGTGTGTACCTTATGGAGAATGCAGAATGTGCAATATCATATTTGTTTGTGCTGCAAAACATTAGTCACTGTAATTATGGTTCATTTATCACGGCAAAAAACGCAAATGCACATGAAAGCGAGCAATACATATGGGGAGAGGCTAATAAAAAAAACAAAACAACTCAAAGCAATCTGGCTCCCTGCACCAGTGTCAACAAGCCAAATTCTTTTGCATTTCCTTGGCCAGTGAAGTGGTTTGGGCATTGTGCTCACAGTGAAGTAAACAAATAAAACCGAAACTTCACAGCCTGCGGGTTAAACTGGGTCTTTTTATAATTCATTATTTCAAATGAAGGCCTAGAATATTAATAAGTAATAATAGACGCCTAGAGTTGAAAAGATTAGTGGGTTGATTTGAGGTGCTAGTGTTTTTCATTTCTGTGGACAGCGTGGACTGTGAGGGTGTTTGCTGACTCTGCCTCTGTATTTTCACCATCAGTAGGTGCTGATTCATGAAGCCTGGCCAATGTTAGTGTCATGTATTACCCAGAGAACAACACAGGAACCACATTACTACAATACCAGGGATAGTGCCCAAGTGAGTTACCCATTATATGTTCAGGTAAACCCTTTGTTATTCAGCTCATTTTCCCAAAATGTTTCAACAATATTCTATCATTGCATTATAATAATCACAAATCTGTGTTTGTCCATATTTAATCAGCAATGATGAAGATGAGAAGTTAACCATTTGTTGAAACTATGTTTAAATTACAGGGGACATTTGCATATTTAAACAAAACTTAACTAAACTAATAAAAGTTGCAAAAAAAGCCTGGAATAACAAACATTTTTCTGCATAACGACATACAAATCTTATAACCCAAGTCCTTATTATGTAAAATCCTTGCTCATTACATATTTGTTTGTCCTAGATATGCTGAATGATACATTCCAGGTATAATTTAATATTGATAAATTTTCAAAAGTTTGTCTTACCACCACAAGTGCTTTCAAGGACCAATGCTCTCAGTTGGGAAGTGTGCGCTACTTCATCCAAATCATCTTGCAACATTAGTAATGAAAACACAAAAAATTACCAGGTGGGAAACATGTCACGTATGCAAAGTCTCATGGAAGTAAAGTCCAACACAAATTCCACCAGCAGACTGTTAACAGTAACCCCCGATTATCTCCACTCCCTTCCCCCAGCTTCTGCTGCAGCAGCTTAGATACTCATCTCTCGCCCTACAGTCGCTCTTCCTTTTTGCACAATTGGTCCCTCCCCGGAAGACTAAGGGGAAGGGCTTTGGGAAGGCACCACATAGTATTTTAGGCAGAGGAATGAGCAGCAGAGAAAAGTCGTAAAGCATTAAACAGGATTTAGTGAGTGGTGCACAGCGGGGAAAAAAAGAATGTAAAGATTCAGAGGGAGGTGAAAGTGGGGGCTACAGAAAACAGGTTAATAATGTTGCTGTCCCTAAAGGCTACAGAAAGGGGTCAGTAAAAGATTCAGTACACTAAAACATATGACATTTTCTGTACGAAACACATGGGTATGAACAGTTAGAGTGCTTAAAATGTAAAAAAAATGAAGTTGCTAGGACCTACAGTATATCTGATGCTTTTCTCAAGGAAAATTGACTAAAGCTGTATGACAATAATGTTTTTAACGCAAAAAATGTTTGTTGACTAATTTAAGGACAATGGCATTAGATTCAAGGCTATTCTGGGATAAGTGGAAAAGCTGGACAGGCCATTCGCAGATGTTTTTAAGTTTTGGATTCAGGTTTCATATGACTAGAGTCTGACTTTCACAGTTTATATAATCAAATAACTTGTTCAACATATGCAGTGCAGATGTGAGCCATGACTGCCAGATACTTTCAGCTTACAGCACAGGTCTGTAAATCAGCTACAAAGATAATCTATTAGAAGACAACAGGAATGAAGGTAAAAAAAAAAGAGAAAGAGACTGCAACAAGATTAATAATGAGAAAAGCTAAACAGCTATTCCTTTCTTGGCTAAAGAATATTGAAAACGGAAAATGTATATTGGATCTGAAGAAAATAGTCTGCTAGCTGCAACTGCAACCTATTTACTGATGCAAAATGTGCATCAGTAAACAAACAAAGAAGAGTAGTGAATATGGCCTTCTTGGTGAGAGTTACATGAGAATACCATTCTCATGTTTGTGGGGAGGGGAAGCAGGGGATGAACGACTAGTCTGGCTTTTGTCCAAAGTTAAAGAATGCCAGCAACTCTACATCTATTTAACATGGATCTTGTTAGTTTAAATGAACATTGTGTAAGTTATAGTCATATTATCATTAATAAATAATTATAGTCCATTAATGTTAAAAACCAGGTGAAGTGGAGGGAGAGAGCTGCTCCTAGCTGACAAGAGACAGAAAGGGACAAAGCTTGGGGAAATGTAAATGAGTAAGAAAGTGCTGACTATGTTTCTGTTACTTTACCAGCTATCGGTTGTACTTTACTATGAATTAAGTTAGCATAGCCCTACGATCAGAACTCTGTTCAGAAAAAAACATTTTAAAAATTGCTTGTTTGTACGGACAGACTTGAAAAGTATGAATTCCAAGTTTTAATAAAACTGCATCATGATAATGTATGATGTATTTTGGCATCCTTTTGACCCATTTATTGCTATTAAATCACATGTGTTTATACATACTGCTGTAGTAAGTGGGTTCAGCAGCGAATAAACACAAATGTAACCACTTGTAACTCTACTCTAACTGTAAAAAATCTTGAACAGTGTCATGGCATCAAGGGTGGGAGGATGTGAAATGCTAACCCTTGTTTTTTGGATGTGACCAGGAATTATACATTGCTCTTTTAAATGTCCATTGTGTAACATTTAGGAGGATTTATTGGCAGAAATAGAATATATTATTCATAGATGTGTACATCTTATGTTGTAAACTAAATAAAATAATATATAAATAATAAAAATACTGGCTTTAAATAGGGCCTTTCGTGAGTTTCGTAGCCTCCATTTCTCCTACAGATGTGGAAGTCGAGTGCTATTCAGTTGATTGCAATCTGCGTCTTCACCACTAGATGCCACTAAATCTTACACACTGGTCCTTTCAACCATACACAAGGCAAAATTCAAAGGTGATAATTTGGGAAGTTGCATGGTATAAGGATTTATTGATGAAGAACAGATGAGTAAAAGGACTTTCCGGGAGCCCTATCCAGAGAAGCTCTGTAGAAAGTAGGCATATGAATAAAATATTGTTTGTTTACTATCTAATTTCTACCCACAAAGGTCTAAGAATAAAGACTGAATAATAGTTGTGTTTCCTTTGGCTGAAATTTTGCTTCAACACACACACACCAATAAATATTGAAAGGAAGCAAACAGACTATTATCGTAAATATCTTCCTATTTATCATTTGTGGTGAAAGAAGTGTGGGAAGCAATTAACCACCGTCTAAAAAACATTTGCATTACAAAAACCAGAAGTTATTTATTAGCTAGTCCATCTACAGGACAGTCGAAGAAGCTTTGGACTCACAGTTTGATCAGCCTCACAAGCACCAGCAGACTCAGAAGTTCTTCCTGATAAGAGCCTGTGATGACAGTGGGAACTGGATCAACACTGACTGGGTCTTATCTAATGGGGACAACATGAGAGAGTATACAAACAGCAAAAATGTAAACAAAAGTGACAGTGATAAAGTACGCTATCATAATCAGTCAAACATCGTTCTAATGCCTCCACCCACATCCGTTACCAGCACTTTGACTGCGTCAGTGTATTAGAGCCACTGTACGTTTAAAAATATTATGGAGCCGGAGGAGGGGGGCTAATATTCAATCTATTACCTCATCTACCGCCTGCATCCATGCACCACAATTAATTTAAAATGTTGTTAATAACTACTAAATATAAATAACCCTGGCCAAAAACCGTATACATTTCAGATTTTATGATCTCAACTTTTCTTGTAATCTGTTACAGAAGTGTATTGCAAGTGTATTTGCTCTGTTTTTCTGAATTAACAACATGTTACCGTATGTCATAATTCTGAGAGGGAAAAGCCAAGAAATATATCAAAATATATTTTATTGTAATTAATTCCTGTGCAAGCTGCTCAGAGTAATTGCAGTCTTTTGGAGTAATTGCAGGGTTTTTCCCTCTCCTCTTGCACTGTGCACAGGCAGTCCGTAGGTGTGGCCTGTGGGGCATATTTGACCTTTCTCACACTGTTCCTATAGTTTGTAAATATGTATACGGTATAGTTCATTTGACTTTCTCTCACAATGTTTCTCTAGTAGGGTGTTCCTATAGTTTGTTTGAATTCCTTCTCACTGTTTCTCTCTGGATCTCTAGAGTAGGGTGTTCCTATAGTTTGAAAATATGTCTATAATTTGTTTGACCTTCTCTATCACTCTTTCTCTTTGGATCTCTGCGTTAGGGTGTTCCTTTAGTTTGTTTGAGCTTGTAAATATTTAATTAGTTTGTTTGATGCTATGGCATAAGCTAGGTGTGTGTGACGACATGTGTGTGAAGTGACGCTCGAAAACGGTTATTGTGTTTTTGCTAAAGAGCCTAGTGTTTTATCATCAGTTATATATAAGTTATATGGTCCACTAATCTGATTGGTTGAAGTTCGCCTGTGATAGATGATAATAGACTTAACTTTTGAAAGTGCTTGCCCTTCCATTCAGGTTAGGTTAAGATTCTTGTATTTCTATGCTTAAGATCAAGACCAATATCGCATCATGCTGAGAATTTGGGGCAGTGGTGACCGGTGTGTGTTCTCGGATATCTCTTCCATAAATCTTATGATTGGGGGTTTATTTTAATTTAGAATTTTTTAAGTAGAGAGTATCAGTCTGTCTCAGTTTCCCTGAGGCTGAAGCAATAAAAACATATAGATCCTGGATGTTTGAGCCCCAATTGCTTACAAGTAAAGAGTTTTGTGAGTATTTAGAGGCTCAGATAAAATTGTTTTTTTTAGATGAATGAGGTGTTGTTTGTTGTCGGAGACTTTTAAAGCATATGTGAGAAGCTAATTTGTGAGAAATGTGACCAAGCAGAAGCAGATTAACTTCACAGCTATGCCATGCCCTACATTACAAGGATTCTGGATTTTATCTTTTGTTGGTAAACATCTGAAATAGCGCATGATATCCACTCCAAAGAAGTCTGTATTACTGCTGTATATGTGCTTCACAATATATATACAATATTTGAAAGCTAACAATTCTAATAAAACACACAATCTAAAGCACTTAAGTACAACACAGTAGCCTATGCATCGACTTTACCAAGCTACAGCCTAGCTTTGGGGCAGTGTGGATGTTTTCCACCCACAACAGCACTACTGATATTCCTTCATCTATTCCCCATGTGGCAGATGAAAGTGTTTGAGATAAGGAATGAAATGGTGGGTGTCCGTATAACTAGAATTTACTCCACTTAAACAATCCTTTGGGGTTTATACACTGGGTATGAGAGTGAAGACTTTTAGGAGAAAACAGGCAGTGCAGAGTAAAGCCAAAATTAGAGAGACTGAAATGCTAAAGCAACTACAGTTTATCCCTTCCTGTCAAACAAATGGATCTAATGTATTAGGTACCATTTAGGGCTTACGGTGCTTCGGTGAAATATAATGTTTTTCTGGTGTTTTGTGAATATTATGACCTCTGAGGCCATGTTGTTGAGATCTCTTAATAAACTCTTAATAAACAACACTGGTTGTAGAGTTTGTAATCACTTGTGGTGTATCAATTAGAATACACTAGAAGTGTGTCACAGGTTTTTTGTACTTTTACTGGAACAGTACAGGTTTACAATTGGGGTGTATGTGTTTTCTAGAATAACAGAGAATCACAGAAATACCACTACAATATACTATACTATACTATACTACAAATTAAATTGGTTACACTGAAAGTCGTATACATTTCATATAGGTACATATATAATTCATACGTAAAGATATAATTGGAAAATTCTGATATGATGATGATAATACATGAATGAACTAAGAAAGCTTATATCAGTTTATATGAAAGTATAAATTGACCCCCACAAGAAATAATAAATAAACTGAAAATACAAGTTAATTCCAAGTTGTTATTGTTATACCATATCTGAACTAAGACAAAATACTAACTGGAGGCTGGAGACTAGAGAGCACTGTCATGTTAAGAAGACAAACGAACCAGAGCAATGACGTCAACACCACAAGACAATCTGCAGAGCATGAAGCATC